TCTCCTTCCTCGCAACGGCCTGTACGTAAGAGATCTATCTTACAATTTGAAACCAATGAAAAGTGACCTATTTGGTCCCCTTAAACTTTTGAACAATTAATGTGATATTTGCTCGTTGACGCTTGATTTTCAGTATGCCACCAAAGCAGTTCTCTACGAGCTCGGCGGTATTGATAAATCAAGATACTTTACGGCCTATTAAAAAACACCATGAATGAACGTAGGCTGGCTATCCAGAACGCTGTAGACAATATGATGGTCGGTTGTACTGGATACATGATCTTGTGCCGACAGCTTACTAGAGGATATTTCGGGTATGCACAGGGCCGAGTCTTCCTTGTATGTCAGCAGGTGCGTCAACCTAATGCCAGTGAAGTGGCAGTTTACCGTCGATTTCCGTATTAGGTGCTTCTGGGGGGAGACCAAGAGATTAACATCATCTGAACGTCCACGCATCTGAACGTCCACAAATATCATGGAGGAATCATGTGCTTTGGTTTTTTATGCGCTGCTAGCCAGTGCGCAAGGTGAGTGACGTTTTTTTCTTTCTAAATGTAAAAATTCTAATGCCCTCATATCACCCGAGTTACCATGGCCTCACCAGTAACCTGTTTGGGGTCAAACATGAAACTGTTTCGAGTTCGTATAACTAAAACCAGCGAAATTCCCTCCGTACCGGTCTATAAGCCAAGCAAAAAGCTTAGTAACATAACTCCAATCGCACCTAACAGTGGGCTCCGATTCCACATTAGTTTTCGGTCCCCTGTCGAGTGTAGCGTGTGAAGTGTTTGCTAACGTTAGATGATGTACAACGTAGGACATCCACATTTCCATGGCAGTCTTCAATGAAACTCCGACTGCCGAAACTAAGATCAACGTTGATCTAGTGAGCCGGGGTGTTGGTTTCCTACAATCATCGACATGGTGCAGCAGAGTGTTATGTTCGAGAATTGTGGTGAAATATCAATGCTTTGGCAGCGTAGAGATCACAGCATTAACAAGAGTGAATCTTTGCATTTGAGTGTCTCCAAGAAGTGGACTGGAGAAAAGAATACAGTATAAGTAGAACTGCCCAGAAATCCAACGCCTATTCGTATGTACTGAAAGATCATGCTGGGACGCTGCAAAACTAATGCAAAAATTTCAGCAAGAACTCGTGAAAGTTAGCAATTATACTGCACCGGTTTTTAGGCCACAATGCTGGTGACCGAGCAAGGTCCCACACTCCAAATTAGCTCACTTTCAAATTAGTACAGTCCCAACAAACAAGGGGAAGTTGAAATATTTTGTATCAACAAAGTAGGTACAAACTAAAAATTTCCTAATGAACTGGGCAGGTAAGCGAGAAACCAACCAAATCCACTCTACTTCAACCATAAAGTTTGAACTTCAAAGTCGGTGACACTTAAATTAGTTTTTCGTGATAAGAGTAGATCGCGGTCTCCTCCACTCGTCTGGTAATGATGAGATCTGATGCAAAGCTAAATGATTCGTTTTTAATTCGGTTAACCGGAAACATACCTTGACAGCTGGTCACAAAGATACTACGTGAAATTAAAACGAAGATTGAGGTTTCGAAGCGCAACTAAACGAAGAATCCGACATCACGACTCCATGCCAGATAGGTTAGACTCCAATAACTAAACTCTACTGCCGCTTTACCAGAGCTTGTTTGAATTCTGAGTAAGAACATTAGGTAATTTTGTTCATTTAAGGACTCATCAGCATCTCAATCTCGATCATTCTCTCTTTTCATGTGCGTCCTCACTTACGAAATTCCGTATAACTAAAACTCTACGGTTTCCAGAAAGTTCATTCTGATTCTTCTCTACTACCCGTAACCAATTCCTGGGGATCTAAATTGATAGTGCAATATGAATATGGAAGTCATTTCCAAGGCTACGGTCATAGACAGATTGATAGATAGATTGACAGATAGACTGAGACTTTCAGAATCAAAACGAACACAAGTTGACAGTTTTGTAGATAAATTCTTCGAAAACGTTAAGGCGGAATGTTCGATTTCGTAATGCTTCATTTTGGCTTAGATGTACATGCTTATCTCACTTTCGTGCACCGAAAACCGTGTACCAAGTTGAATTGCTATGTGATAGGTTCCTGCACGGATTTCTGCTATATTGACAGCAAACTAGCCTGAGACAGACTTGAAACTAAACTCGAGTTATAGAAGCCAGTACTGCATTTATTCCCGCTTGAAAAACACATTTGTAACAACATGCACATAAAAACTCAGATTATTATCTACCCTGCTCTTGTGCTCTTTTTATTGAAGCATGACAGAAGGACCTGCACGTCACTCAGAAGACCCCCTAGACTTCATAGATGAGTTCATTTGCACCGTCGGTGGAAAATTTCCCGGGCTAAAATGAAGGATTGTATTCTAAATTCACCTTCGAAAGGAAAACTCTTGGCGTTGATGCCAAACCAGCTCCGGTGGTTAGGTAACTTACCTATGGGCAGTTAAAAATCGGATTCGAAATCAGCAGGTTCCAACGTTACTCAAACAAAGGAGAATTCAGGTAAATCTCAGTGCCTGAGAATGTCATTCTATGTCACGGAATGGAATAAAACACAAGAGATAGGTCTAGCAGGCGGTAATTAAACAGATTGAAGAAGAGTAAGGACACTACATTTGTGATAACAAGCGAGACTTTAAGAGGACATCGGTGTCTTCAGAGTAGGGTAGACCGTTGGGACTTGCGCAACACGCAAACGCATATGTTTTAGCAGGATTGTTCTCGTGCTTAATCTTTGGTCACTTGCGTTCTTGTCAGTTCATCTACTAAAATTACCCACGTGGTGATCCTAATGCCAACTACATTACTAACTGTAAGGTTACCAGAATGTCGTCAGGTTAGCCATCCCCACCTTGAGTGGGTATGCCCCCGGTAAAAAATGCACTGCGATTCACAAGGGAAGATTTGGCATTTCGCCAAAAAAATTAGAGGACTGGACAGATGATGTCGATACAAGTGCTGAATGTTACATCATCAGGCGAGCTGCAAAAGACACCCAAAATGTTTCTTAGTGTATGCTCAGCAGTTGAATCAATACTAACCGGGAAATTCGATTAAGATGCCTGTCATTCATATGATCATTTGCTATAGTACACTACGTTGCCTCCACCATTAGAGAGATACCGTTTCCAGTTTTAGGGAATCTGTTCCCGTTGTGATAAAGGTAATTTGATAAAAAAAACCAATATTTACTGTCAAATATCATATAACATCATAAGCACCTCACTGCGGTTCAAAACAATGAATCGCAGTAGCTCCCCGTGAATCACAGTTTATTTTTCACGGATCCGCCTGATACACTTACTTCGTCAAGTCGAAAAGTTCAACCTAGTTTTAAAGCAAGGAAATATGTCATGTATTTGTGTACATACTATTACGGTCATATTAAATTGATCACTGTCTTCAGTAGAGCTCCAAGGCATTTTCCCTCATATTGCCAGATGAACAGGTTAAGGTGAAAGTATGGATTGTAAAAACCACCGTCACTTGTTTATATTCCCAAGCAGCGTTTTGGAATTTCACCCGAAGGATGAAGTAGTAGTTTGTAGTACACAATTATCCAATCGAGGTAGATTCTTATTGGTCCCCCATTTTGAATGAGAAATTAACTTCACGTTTACGTGGATATGCCGGCTGCACACGGACTGCACCAGTATTTAAAGTTCATTGGCTTTTGAATTGCATTCATTATTTTTCGGTAACTAGTGTTATGGCCGGTAAGACACTTCTGGGGAGAAAACAGAAGAAATACAAGGAAAATACGCCTCTCCAAAAAATGACTTCCAGAACTGTTGGCCGAACTAACTCCCTGCGTGGGTAACAGTTTGATGGCCACGTTAAATACCTAAGTTTATAAACTGTATTCACACGCAAATGAAGCAGCTTGTCCTTCACTGTGGATCGCTCTCGTCAGCATCTTCATACCAAACGTTTTTGCCGTCAAATTCGCTCAGATGAACTCATTCAGTTTGATTTTCTGACAGAAATTCTTTAGTAAATTTAAAATGAGCCTCCGTTTGAATGTAAATTACTCTCGAAGCACGTTTATCAAACTCTTTGAATTGAGGAGGTTCTATGTCTTGAGGGTAAGGAGTTAATCGAATCCCGTAAATTTCATCTTCATTTTTCATTCAGATTCAATGGAGCTTTATTAGGATTGCACTTCGACGAACTGCTTCAATTTGTTAACTCGGAATTCAACAACATCTTTACCGATAAAAATATAGTTTATTATATTTCATTTATCACGACCCTGGTAGCGTGATGCTCGACAACTTGATAGGTATTTACAAATGGTCAGCTTTTTCTGAAGTGCTAATCAGATGAATAAAACAAAGCCACCTTGAGGACACGTGTCCCTTCCTGATTTTTTTAGCACTTCACCTCATTGATAAGAACTGGGCTTGCGGTTGGGGGTTATTCCAGAACATGAGCTTCAAAAATATGGCAAAATGACTGATTCACCAGGGCCAGGCCTTCTCAAGTTTCTTGAACGCACCATGTCTTTTAATACACAGGAGTAGCTTTCTACAAATATTTGCACACTATCGGTTGCCTGCGAACCGTCTGGTTTTTGCGAAAGTGTGTTGTTTAATCGCACATTGCATTGGTCGTTCGCGAAGGCGATGAGCTTTAGCGGTCGATAGACCAGCAATCTCGTGCAGTCATCGTTTCACCAGCCCCATGTGCTGTCACAGTCAGCTATTGGAATATATGCACAAACGGAGGATATAAAACTGGAAGAGTGGAGCACCTATTAACTGATACTCTATAGCGAGAGCTGATGCCAAGTCCTCATTTTATGCTAACTCTTTTAAGCATCACCTGGATTGCAGCTGAATCCTTAAAGGTCGGTTCATTCAATATTCAAGTGTTCGGCCAAAAGAAGGCAAAAAATGAGAAGGTAATGGGGTATATTGTTAAGGTAACATATTTCATGCTCAAAGCCTAATTGGAAATCAGATTTTGATACGATATGATGTGGTCGTCATACTGGAAATCAGAGACAAGAAAGGAACTGCATTCCAGAAACTTTTACAAGACCTCAACCAGTAAGTTTCACTGGCAATGAAGCTACTTTCCTCAGACAGTCCAACGAGTCGTACGCGTCGTATGTGAGCGAAGCCCTTGGGAGGACAACATCAAAAGAACAGTATGGTATTCTCTACAAGTAAGAATAATAACATTTCTTTGCTTCTGTACGATTTCAAGTTTGATACACACATAAATGTCTTCTAGGTGAAATTTTTCTCTCATAACTTTGGTCGACTGTAAACTAAGGGTTAAAGGAAATACCGCTGCCACTTAATCTGGAATTGAAAAAACACATATAGACTCACCTTTACCTAATATATTAAAAAATATTTTTATGTTCTAACATATAAATGTTCAGTTCCACGCTGATGAAACCATCGTTGCAAACGGTACGAATGGGTACTCTAAACAAGTACTCATGTGGATCCTGCCTTTGGCAAATTGCTGTACCAGATATATACCCCAGTGCTCAAACCAAAGAGCACAGATATGCTTAAAATTCGCGATGATGAAAGTTGTTTCGCGGAAAGACTCACTGCTCTGGCTTTGAGTCTCGGGGTTCAACAATGTCGAAGTCAACAGCAGAGGGAGCAATCAAATTAGAAACAGCCGGTAAATAACGGGCCTTTGAATTGGCATTCAATAGACCAATGGTTAGGTATTCGTAGTTAGGTATTCACAGATGACTTTGAGAACCTGGAAGCGTGCACCAACTAGGGTGTTTACGATCTACAGAAAACAATTGTTTGATTTTAATATCGCCTATAACGGTTTTACGAACTTTATATATATATATATATATATATATATATATATATATAAAAAAAGATATTTACAAAAAA